GCAAGACTAATGCATTCCTATATTTTAGGCCATTAAAGTCTTAAAAATGTATTATTTTAATGCAAGACAAATGCATTCCTATATTTTAGGCCATTAAAGTCTTAAAAATGTATTATTTTAATGCAAGACTAATGCATTCATATATTTTAGGCCATTAAAGTCTTAAAAACGTATATCTGATTTCCATTTTTCATTATTCTTCTTTCATTTTCATTTTTCTTATAATCTATGTCACCGACTAACTCCGTAAACGTTGTTGGATAATAATATCGTATCCGAATCGAATGTTTAACTCGGAGTGTTCTGAATAGCTCGGAAGGCGCCTTTCGATTCGAGAACGATTTCCAAACGAATGATTCGATTAAAATATCGAAGAGTTCTGAATCGGGGTCCTGGAGTCTATATGCGTGTCTGTGTGTTTGCATGTAATTGAAGTATTTACCAATGACAAAAAATAACGAGTTAATTTTCAACGTAATTAAAGGTAAATTTGAAAGTAACAATACACTTACCAGACGTCAGTTTTGATGGTAAAAACTCCGTCTATATAAGCCTCTGGCGGCATCCACTTGATCGGCAGCATGGCCTTGCCGCCCTTCTTGTAGTAATCTGATCGGTAGATGTCGCGCGCCATTCCGAAGTCGGCTATCTTCACCACGCGACCCGGGCCACGTGACGTTAGTAAACAATTACGCGCTGCTATGTCCCTGTACAGAAATGCAAAACACAATCGTTAGAGGTGGTCATGGCCTAATTTGTAATTCGAAGAACTTTGAGTTCGTCCAAGGAAGTACTACCACATTACCTTACTGTGTTCCGGTTTCAAATGGTAAGGGTGTTGGTGAAATTACAGGCACATGGGACTTGTCAACTTATGTCTCTGGGTGACGGGCGCAGTGGTAGTGCCCCTCGGATCCATTATGTCGTAACGTTTTATTTATTGTTGGACGACTGTTGCGTCTAGCCTGTTATCTGTCGTGACTATGTCGTGGACGTTTATTTTATCGTTGAACGACTGTCGTGTCTAGCTGTTCCCACTAGATCGTAACGTCAATTTATCGTTTCACGGCAGCCGCTTGTCGTTTGCAGATATGAGACAACGATAAATAAAATGTGACAACACTACTATCGTGACATTTTTATCGTGACGTTTTATTTATCGTCAGACGACTGTCGTTCTAGCACTTCCCATTGTCTCGACAGTCTGTTGTCGTAACGTCAAGAAAGTTGTGAACGACGGTTAATCGTGTTAGTACAACACGATTCTTCTAGATGTGAACATTTTTATTTAAATACACAAGCCACGACACTTTAAGTTGCACGACTATCTGTCGGCACGACATAATGGGAACACGCCCTTAGATCGAAAATACCTGCAAGAGCTAAACGGGTCTAAAAGCTAAATTGGTTAATTACCAACTTATTCGAAAATGCTTTAATAAACCTAATCATTAAGTGGATTTTTCCCTTCCATTTATAACTATGATAATCACGAATCATTATTGATGCAAAAATCGAACAACAAAAAGGAAAATTCCTGCGATCTGACTGATTGTTTATATTATTTCAGTTTCATTGTTTTGGGTTACAAATAAGTAGGTACTCAACGAAATATCTCTTAAATGAGTGAAATTCTTGAATATTTAGAGCACTATATGATTTCGAAGGCTTTAAAAATTATACCTACACTGTGGGCGCGAACGTAGATCTCTGACGATTGCTGGATTTAGTTGAAAAGCATGCCAAAAAAGGGTTGAATTACAGATATCTAGACAGACACAGCAGGTACAGTAATTTGTATGAAAACTAAGCGTGCAGTTGTTGTCAGACTTATGCGAAGTTAATTCGCCAATTTATGTGTGTGAAGTAGCCGATATTGGTCCAAGCCATAAAATCCCTAAAAATCAAGGAAAACAATTCTGCTTGTTGCCGGATATTGGGAAATATGAACTATCTTGTTTCCACAATTCCCCAATCAAGTTTGTAATTCCCCAGACTTTTATTAAGTAGCCTAAAATCGCCTTTTCCTATTTCACACATAGCCTAAATGTCGTCCAATCGCCGTTCTCTTTTTTAGTCGCCGCACGACCCCTCGAAGTAGCCTAAACGGCGAAAAATCGCCTAAACTGGCACCACTAGCAGCGGCAACTAAGTGAATTTCATGTCTACCTAGATATTGTCTGTGGGTTGAACACTCTCCGTGTACAGTATAATAATGGGTTCAGAGTGTTTCTGCAAATGCTACACTGCACTACAATTGCAGTGTATCTGGCATGATTTCTATGCCATAATCATAAAGAAAACTGCATCCTTAATATAGAATGGGTGGCAGTTCCAATAGCACTCTGAATATTATAACTATTTGGTGAAAAGTTGGCAGAGCGTATGCTTGAACATTTCATTTTTTATTTTTTTTATTTATTAAAGCTTTGGCAAAGCCATCAGCCTAAACATGAAGTTTAATTATGTTTCTGTAATTATATGGCCGCCACAAAGAGGATAGGCAATTTGAGGCGGCGTGCTTGGATTGACCGGGATTCCTTAAAACGGGCCGATACGGGTATTTTAGTTCGAGATTCGTATAATTTCGCGTTTTAATCTTCGATTAAGGCACAATAGCACTATCCTATTCCACTTTAAACTAGATTTCACAAAATAATTGAAAGTCAAGATAAAAACGACACTTTTCCCTCCAAAAGTTCCAGAGCGAATCTCGAAAATTTCATTGGCGTGCTGGTGTTGCTAAGTAAGAAAATACTTTAAGCGTGCAATTTAATTTGTAAGTAGGTATTTCAAAACAAACAATTATAATGTTTTTATGAAAAAACCGACTTCAAAAGTTCGTGCGCGAAATCGGGTTCAACCCCTAGTCTGCCACCCTTAGAGGTGGAATATTTTTTTCAAATTTAAATAGAACCAGCACTGAGGTACCTTCTTTGCGATAAAAAAGAATCGTCAAAATCGGTTCACAAATGCGGGAACAATCGTGAAACATACATACAAACAAAAAATACTGTCGCATTGAGAACCTCCTCTTTTTTTTAAGTTGGTTAACTATCATGGTGGTCTAAAACGAAAAGTTATTATTCTTAAGAACTCGATTTTAACATTTATACAATGTATCCAAGGTAGTGTTGTTGCCAAGTTGAAAAATAAATAATTCTAATACGACAACAATAACAATCGAATTTGGCTTGTTTTTTCACATTCTATACTAGAAAATAATGATAATTCTATTTACCTGTGTATAAATCGTTGTGCCTCTAAATACCGACATCCCTTGCAGACGTCAAGTGAGCACAGAAGTAAATCCTTCATAGTGAGAGCGCTGGCACGTTCTGGTTTTGGCCTACTTTCGCGCAAGAAGTTCTTTAAATCCCCGCCTGCTAACAGCTCGAGGACTATGAATCTAGCGGCAAAATAATTGTCGTTTATAACCTATGCAGACGACACACGTTAATGCGATTCAAACGAGAAACCTTTGCACAAACTCGTATACGTCATTTACGGCATCTGCGCGTATGGGATATGCCACGAATATGCTTCTCTACAAGATATTTCGATTCCTCCAATTATCACTACGCCAATTAAATTTTTAAACTGTTTTTTATTTCTTTTTTTCACAAATTCGTTTTTTTGTTTTTTTTTCGAATTTTGTTTTTCGTTTCTTGTTTTTTCACAAAATTCGAGAAGCATAATACATTAAGTAAGAGTTAATAAATATGGCTGTTTACAAAAATAACAGAAAATGACAAAAAAATAAACTTGGTGTAGTGTTCATTGGAGATATCGATTTGTAAAATACAACCTTGATTATATTGCTTACATCATAAACAACAACTTTTGTTCCACAACATTTAATAATCCATCAGTAAAAATATTTAAATGTAACGCTCTAAACCATAGATTCATCAACTTTTTGACCCTCTTAGGCAAGACAAAAAAGTTTCAACGCCCATTACGACAAAAAATAATTGAAAACACGTATTTTTTATATTAACTTAACACAAAAAATCACAAGGCAAAGCAGTTATAATATATATGTAGGATAATTCAGGTTTGTTTCTTCAAATGCGTTAGCAACGTCCTTAGACAACGTCAACGTTACATAATTGCTTCCGATGTCCCTACCGCCCCAGGACTATTCAGCGCTCAGTGGGGGGCGGTAGAAACCACTTCGGGAAAGTATGCTCTAAACGATAACTCTGTGGTAACAAAAGAGGGGGCTAACGTGAATACCCAATCTGATGCAAAACGCGGGGGTAAACTCTGTTACCACCTAATATAGATCTAAAACATATCAAATAGTACTAAAAACTTTTTTTTATTCTTAATTTTTAACAACGCCTATAACACTGTACTACATGGTGTTTATGTTTATACGGCCTCATAGGGAATCTCAAATTGCGTGGACAGTTAGGGGCATTTTTGGTTTTGATGCAATAGGTTACGTAAGTATAGAATCTTTTTGGTTATTTTCTGTAACGGGTTTCCCAGAACAATATTTATGTCTCCATTACGTTCAATCTGCCCAACTCCAAATTGTATTCTTGCGGTCCTAGTGTGGTCACAACCCTACAAAAAACTTGAAATTCTATTTTTGGAAAATCTACAATGTTTTGTAAAAAATCGTGGCACAAAAGTTGTTGTTAATGATGTTAGTAACATTGTTCTACGAGGTTGTAGTGTTTCAGAAATACCTCTGTATGAGAATATATTAGATACGTGTTCTTTATTTGACAATAACAAGGTACAGATATGGAATTTTTTACAAACTCACAATACAGCCAAGTTCTTACCTCGGATGTCGATCAAAACAAACACCAATAAGGTGCACGATGTTAGGATGGTTGAACTTGGCCATAATGGCTGCCTCCATCAAGAAATCTGACTCCGCTTGTCCCGTAGATAGTTCGGGCAAAGTCTTCACAGCTACTGGCATTTCTACAGTGTCGCCAATGCGGTGACGGTATAATCCTTGATATACTTCGCCGAATGCGCCTTGACCTAAAGCTCTAAGGAAAAAAAAATGATTGCTTAATTAAACACACAATGATTTATTGCGTTATCGCCGATACACATAGAAGCTTACTAAATACAATATAGAATATTAAAAAAATTAATACTACAATACCCTAAATTTTAATATACCTATACACACACAGAACAGTTATTTGTTATGCAAGGGTGCAAAGTTGTTGTTTGACACGAGTGCCGCGAGTGGTTCAAAAATAGAATCCTGAGCGTAGCGAGGGTTCCAAAGCACGAGACGCAAAACAACTTTGCTGCCGAGCGAAACACACAACTCTCCACCTCACTATAGCAAGGAAAATGATAGATGAAAGAAAAGCAGTTGAACTTTAATAAATCAGTTTTAATAAACAAAATTAGTTATCGTTGTCAATTTAACATCAAGAATAATAAGAATAAAATATACTAACGGATTTATAATTACATAAATAATGTACGACAAATCGCGTCATTATGTTTTTTTTCATCGAAAGAACAAGTTAGGTGCACCACAGTCCATCGTCAAGTTCGAGTTTCATAAACCTTTTCCACGCTAGTGTGGAAAAAACGCTTATGCGCGCGTATATGTATGAGAAAGAAAGCCTTTCCGAGTTAGTGAGGTGAAAAAGTATTTTACACAAGTTAAATGCACAATACTCATGAAAATAAATGTGTCGCTGCACACGCATATAGAACTTCTCAGATTTTAGCTACGGACAGAAAATTCGACCTGAGGTGTTGGTTTTCAGCAATTATTTGGCAAAATTAAAAATGGCAAAATTAGAAAACAGTACACAAGAAATATTCCAAAAATTGCTACACAGCAGCGTAACAATCAAGTTTCAATACGATTTTTTTTGAGATATGTTATTTATTGGTAATGTTTTACATAAGGTAGATATAGAGGTTCTTTAAAAAATGATAAATAAAAAATAAAAATAAAAATGGGTTTTATTTGTCATTCGAAACTTAAACAATTACAGATAATAACTAAATAATAAACATTTATTAAAAACAATACATAAAAATAACTTGAATAACTTTAACTACGTGCTTGACTACAAAAGAAATAGCATTAGGGCTCAATTTACATTACTGCAGAACGGAACGGAAGCGAATTTTATCGGAATTGTACATAGCATAATAAACTTTATGTCAATTGTGGAACGTACATACAAACCAGATACGATACAATACGGTAACTATGGGTTTTTTTAGTATGTCGGGACGAATAAGTCGTGCGTCTGGTGGAAAGCGACACACTTGTCCATAACAGTTGCAATGCTATTCAGAGCTTTGAATCGGAAAGATCTGAGGGGCACTATAACTTCGCCCGTCAGCTTGAGATATTGGCAAGTCCCATTTTACTGCTTGGTGACAGAAATAGGTAAGGTGGCAGTAGTTCCTTGGAAGAACTCTTAAAAGTTCTTACAAATTAGGCCATGACCACCTTTGCTTTTGCTTTTCTCATTTTATTTTTAATTTTATTAATTTTTAGTTATGTAATTGTACTAACCCTAATAACAAACATAGTTATAAGTTGTTATGTTACTAACCTACTAATTTATATGGATTACTGTGGTCTGAAATAAAAGATTTTTTTTTTTGCGTTTTGTATTGTGTAATAGTGCCCACCATTACTGCGCCTGTCAACCTGAGACATAAGTTGACAAGTCCCATGTATTTCACCAGCTCCCGTACCCTTGAAAACAGGAACGCAGTAATGCTCACAATACTGCTTGGCGGCAGATATAGTAAAGGTAACAGTACGTTCCTAGCCGAACTCTACTAATGCCGGTGACTGTGCGGGAAATCTCCGGAAGACACGCGCTTTGTTTTTTGGGGCGTCATCGGTTACATAAATTCGGTTCCCTTCCGTCCCGCAGTAACGTAATTTGAATTCGACAAAAAAAATTGACTTTTTTAAATTATATATTATTATTATATTATATATAGCATACATTTTTTTAAATAAATATAAAATAAAATTCATTTATTTCAGATGTTTATGGACCATATTCTTAAATAATAAAATTACTTAATCACTTTAGAAAATTCAAAATAAAAAATATTATTAACAAAACAATATAATCAATGTTTAAATCTAAATTAAATACTCCACTTGCTTGATACAAACATCGAACAAACAAGGAAAAGTTCCTCGATTTGGCTGGCCTCGAACCAACGTCTGTTGGCTAACTGAGGACACCGCTCTAGCCAACTGCACTTGTGTTATGAAAATCGGAAACAACGAAAAAAAAATAAAAACGTCCAAAAATTAAGTTAGTTATCGAAATATAAATCACTATATTGGGCTTAAACGGCTTTTTGCCGTAGCACCATCTATGAGAAACTTATGAAAGTTTCTTCATATACCTTTACAGCTACCAGAGACTGACAAAAATGTCGCTATGTTAAATGCAATATTTATTTTTATTGAATATCATGTTTTTGCTAATTTTATTCTTGTATTCAAATCATTTTGTGAAAATACTCCACTAGTCTTGTCCAGTCAGATCAAAGCATTTTTCTATAAGAAATAACAATAAGAAACTAGAGAATCTACATGTATTTTAAATGTTATTTTTATTTTATTGTACGGACAACGGCACATCGGACTACACGTTTTTGTTCGCCTCCTGGGCAACGGAACAAGATACGTCAATGTGTAGCTTGATGTGCTGGAGTGTGTACTTACATGTTTCTTAAATACTGAGTAGGTATACTAACTTACAATACGTGTTCTGCATAGTACAATGGACTTAATATTAGTTTTTTACCTCACTAGCTCGGAAAGGCTTTCGTTTTCATTGGAAATCTGCGAGCAAGAGCGTTTTTTCCACACTGGCTTGGAAAGGGTTTTTGAAATTCGAACTTGACAATTAACTGTGGTGCACCTAACTTTTTCTATCGACGAAAAAAAAACACAATGACACGTTCAACTACGCGATTTCTCGTAATTATTTTATGTAATATAAATCCGTTGGTATATTTTATTCTTATTATTGTTGGCATTAAATTGTCAACGATAACTAATTTTGTTTATTAAATTATTTTAATTCGTCGAAGAACTAAACTGATTTATTATAAATTAAATTTTTATTGAATTGATATTCAATTATTTTTTGTGAAATTACTACACTAGTTTGTTATAATTATCAGAAAAAACACTCAGAAAAAATTCCTTCGATCCGTGATTTATTATAGTTCAACTGTTTTTCTTTCATCTACCATTTTCCTCGCTATAGTGAGGTGAAAAGTTATGTGTTTCGCTCGGCAGCAAAGTTGTTTTGCGACTCGTGTCTTAGAACCGATGTTTGAAACCTTCGCTACACTCAGGATCCTATTTTTGAATTTTCAATCTTAGGGTCGTATTCTAGAACTCTACTCAATACTCAAGTCAGGATTTGAGTATGGTTTAAAGCACTTGAAATCACACTCAACTCCCTGCCATTAGGGTCGTATTTCCAGTGCTTGTGTTTCCAGTGCAATCCTGACTTGAGCATTGAGTAGAGTTCTAGAATACGACCCTTCGAATCCTTCGCTTGCTCCGGTTTCAATACAAGCACTCACGTTAAACAACAACTTTGAAGCCTTGCATTAACTATTATTACGTATATTTTGTGTATTATATAATTTTATAAACTTGTAAATTTTGTTACTTACTTGACAAGCTTAAGGCTTTCCCTAGAAACTTGAGGCAGGCCTCTAACGTCGATTCCTTGAGGCAAAATACACTCAGCGCCATAGTGGGGGTTGAACGCCATTGCCAGTGGATTCTCGGGAGCATTACGGAGTCTGTGAAGCTGAACTTCTTGTTCTAGGAGACGCTTTTGACGGAGCTCGTTCTCTTTTTTCTTTTGGTATGTGTTATCTGTACAAAAATACAAAAACTTGTATTTATATTGAGTTCTTAGGTTTGTGCGATTGTTACACATAGGAAATAAAACTGTTTTTTTTTTATCTAAATCCTGTATATTGGTTTTTTTAAACAAACCAATCAAGTCGTGGTGTAGGTGACGGGACGAACAAGCCGTGCACCTGATGGTAAGCTATACACCTGTCCATAACAGTTGCAGTGCCATTCAGAGCTTTACATCGCAAGATCAAGACCTGAGGGGCACTGCCCTTGCGCCCGTCACCCTGAGACATAAGTTGACAAGTTCCATGTGCCTGTAACTTCACCAGCACCCTTACCCTTCAAAACCGAAACGCAGTAATGCTAACATTACTGCTTGGTGGCCAAAATAGGAATGTTGTCATGTGGCCTTATTATACAACAGGTGCCAAATTAAACTGCCTCCGTGGCCGAACGGTTACCATGCCGGACTGCCACGCAGAGGTCCCAGGTTCGATTCCCGGGCCGGGAGAAATGTTTGTATGGCTTACATTTATTTCTCTCGTGAGTTTGGGTGTAATTTGTGGTTGTCTATGTGTGTGTCCATGGCACCCGCGACACAGGGTTTCCCTAGTGCGGGGCTATGTTGAGTGTGCGCGTTATTTATTTATTTATTAAATAGAGCACTACCTCGCGTGTACAAAAGTTTTGAGACAAACTTTGACTTTAAAAGATAAAACACAATAGGGCCTGCCAAAAGTCCCACCCAAACTTGGATTCTCTAAAGCGGGCCCTCACCAACGAATCCCACTGGAGAAGATTCGTGTCGCGACCCCAGATTCGTTTCGGGCAAACGCGCCGTGGAAAGAGGGCCCCCCGAGCGCGCCCGTGCTTGCCCGTGGCGGAATGTTCGGATCCATTGCTGTAACGGTTCGGTAACTTCACAGCGTGCGGCTCTCAATGCGTAGGTATTGGAATACGCTCCGCTACGCGCGCGTCGGCCCGAGGCCGCCCAGACTCGTCCGTTTCGCGAACTCACCCATACAAATCGGCGCGTTTGACATCACGGGCCGTGGCCTAAGAGCTAGTATTAGGAATAGAGGCGGTCATTTTGAGTAATAATTGTTGTTAGTTGTTTGAAAATTTGTAAATTATAACTTAATTCAAAATTTTTATGTAACTTTTAATTCGTCTCAAAACTTATGAACACACGAAGTATAATAATAGCTTTAAAAAATCTATCTGTATACAATAAATTATATTCAGTTTTGTCACTCTCCTTTCGAAGTTATTCAAAATCACTTGCGCTTTATTTGCTAAACGCTATTTACTTACGCTAAGTATGCTGATGTGGCTACCAAGCATACGATTTCCTGATAGATATTTCTACAAATATTTTTAACTGTGTATAAATTGTCTTTTCTCTTATTTTATTAAATAATTCGTCATAGAGTTCATTGACATGACAGGCTTTTTTTACGTAAAATTCACAGTCTTGCAATATTTAGGTGTTCCGGGGGTGCATCCAGTAACGACGACGTTTTTTCCTTTTTTTAGTAATACACAGCAACTATGTAATAGCATTTGACAGTCATCGTCAAATACCATTTCGTTGCGAGAACATCTGAACTCAATGCCTTGCGTCTCTCAAATGAGTTTTGTTATTCCGAACAGAAATAAACGTAGGTAAGTGTGTGTTATTTATACGGAATCTCGAATCGATATTCCAAAACGGAATTTCGAATCAGAATTCCGACTGTATATGGCCGACCTAAGCCCGTGTAATTTTGACACTATAATTAGGAATGTCACAGTACACTGTCAATTTCGACATTCGATATTTAATTTCCATATCTTGTATAATAAATCTCATTAAGTGTGATGTATGCTAACCTTAGAGGATAGAAAAAAATAAAAGAAATGCTAACGCACTAAAACCTTTATGCGACATAAAGAAGACGCTTGCTCTATCGGCCGTGCAACAAATAACCGTCTCTCTTGTCAATCAAATACGGAAAGCATTACTACAAACTAATAGGGTGCACGAAAGACGCACCATTCCTTTCTCGTACATCTGGCGCATCTTGGGCAACAATCGGCTACTAGCTTAGCCTTACGCGGATTGGCAAACCCTTTCACCACGATATAGTACATGCCGTCGATACGATAAGAAGAAGAAGATAAATAAATACTTACACAAATAGAGACAGACGCAAAGCACGGCGAGCGCACCAACAAATACAGTCACCGATAGAATGATGATCAACACCCACGATATTCGCGGCCATGCGTCTTCCACTGCAAATAACAAACAAATTACAAATATATTTCTTTTTCCCAATACTCTACAATGTGCTGTTCGTACTGTAATCGCTGCCTTTACACAATAACGCAGTATTGCACAATACTGATATTTTGAACGAAGCTTACAGCGACGAGCAGAACAAGCGAAAATGTAAAAAGATATATACGTAAAAATACCGTTGCAAGGCGTCCGGATAAAGCCGAACATAGTTTTTTTTATGACACCAAGTGACGGGACGAATAAGTCGTGCGTCTGGTGTAAAGCGACACACCTGTCCATAGCAATTGCAGTGCCATTCAAAGCTTGAAATCGCAAACATCGGACCCTGAGACATAAGTTGACAAGTCCCATGTGCCTATAATTTCACCAGCACCATTATCAAAACCCGAACGCAGTAATTCTCGAATTACTTTGGATTTGGCCAAATTAGACAGTGTCGAGCTTGTCCAGCTTTTATTAGGGTTTTTATATTTGACCAGTCGAGTGTTAATTAGTAAAGAAGACTGATTTGGGTAATTTTCAGGTTACCTAATTCGGTGGCAATTAAGGATAGTCAGTAGTAGGAGGTTCTCTCTTCCGTTGGATGAGGTTACCAAAACAAGCCAAGTGAAACCCCAAATTGTTGTTTGTTCAGAAGATTTTTATTTTCACCTTGTATGTTGCCAATACAATTTCACCTTATATGCGGAAGGTGCGGGCAGTTGTTCCCAGTAGGGACTCGACTCCTGGAAACCGTTCCCGCGAGATGAGGTTTTTCACCCTATAAGATGGGCAATAATATTTCACCGTATATGAGCGTACGAAACGTCAGAAGATCCGGGTAGCAGTTCCTAAGAAGGGACTCAACTCCTGGTTGCCTTACTGAGCTCTCTGTATTCTTAGATTTCACTTTACAATAACTTTTTTTTTTTGAAGGATATTTTGCACTTGGCCGCTGATGGCCTTGACTGCGCCACCGGAGAAAAGGGCGACCTGAAGTCTCATAGCCCCTAAAACAAACTTAAAGCTAAGAACGGGCCTGAGGGCGCCCAAGTTGACACGGACCTCGGCTCAGGGCGCTAATGGAGACTTCCGCCAGAAGGGCGTGCTGTAGGAGAGAATCTACCAGTGTACTTGCTGAAATGATGAGGCTCTACGACCTCGCCGGCGAGGACGGTTGGTGCGTGAGGGACTGCTGGAGGGGAGCGCTGGTTGGCCTTCGAAGTGGCGAGAGTGATAGGGTCGTGAGGGTCGTTGAGGAGTTCCCTTGGCCGACGGGTCCTATTTACGCGGTGGGGTTGTTCCCTAAGGGGGTCGTAAGAGGATGCAGCCACCACGAGGGGGTTGGGGTGGTGAGGAGCAGAGTCGAAGTATTAGTAGATCATGTAAAACTGCTCTACTTCAAAAGAGTGTAATAGTAATGGCTACGAAGGTTTATAACAAACTTCCACTTGAAATTAGGAATTGCAACGATTGTGCAGAATTTAAGAAATTATTATTTAATTACCTAAATGATTGGACATTCTATAATATTGAAGATTTTTTATAAAATTTACATTTCATATGATTAAATTTATTATTGATTATTTTACTATTGTTATTATGTTTCATTAGTATTAGGTTGCATTAATTGGACTGCATGATTATAATATTATTACAAATTATTGCATGAGAATTACTAAAACTAAGAAAACTTTGTATGCCATAAGGCGGATCACAGTGATTCAAAATTCATTCTTGTAACAACTTTATAACCTGTGTATCACAAAGAAATAAATGATTTGATTTGATTTGAGTATTTCCTCGATGCCTGTTTCATGAATCGGGCTATTGTGGGGAGCCGTAGATCTATGTGGAGGTTAGCGTTGCGCAGGTACCACGGGGCACCAGTCGCGTTGCGCATGAATCTATTTGGAGAGCCTTGCAGGCGGTGTATAAGAGCGAAATTTGCCTGAGCAAATGCACTGGTGTCACTGGTGTACGTCATGTTTGGGCGGATGCAGATCGTGTACAATCTCACCTTATTGCGAAGGGAGAGTTTGCTATGCTTGTTGAGAAGGGGGTGGAGCCGGCTCATAACAAAGTGGGCGCGATCGAGGACGGTTTTCACGTGTGCTTTGAATGACAGCTTCCTATCGAGCGTAACTCCTAAGTATTTGACCGTGTTCACCCAAGGGATTAGGCGGTCAAAGAGCGAGATCGGGGTGAGGTTTTGTACCCTACGACTGGATAGGTTACTTCGCGTGAAGAATACCGTCGCGCTTTTGTCGGGATTGACTTCGATTCTCCATCTGCGAAACCACTCGCCTAGGCGTGTGGTGGCAGATTGGAGAGCCGCGGAAACTAACTTGGAGATGCGCGCCGAATAATAGAGCGCAGTGTCATCGGCAAAGAGGGCGAGATTTACTGCCTGATACTTCGAGATATCGCTAGTGTACAAGGAGAATAGGAGGGGCGAGAGGACAGAGCCTTGCGGGACTCCAGCTCTTACAGAGTGAGGGGAGGAGAGTGCGCCCTCAACTCAGAACTCGGTCGATGTGCACGAGACGATCAGGCACGCCGAGATTGTACAGCTTGTAAAGTAAGCCGTTGTACCAGACTTTGTCGAAAGCTTTTGCCACATCGAAGAAGAGGGCGCCGGTGGGCATGAAGTGGATCGAAACCTTCGGAGATATGTTGCACTATCCGGTGCACATGCTGGACGCAATGAATGCCTAGCTCTAAAACCAAACTGTTCGTTGGGGAATAGATTGTGGGACATGACGTAGCCTCTGAGGCGGGCGTAGAGGATGCGCTCATAGAGTTTGCCCATGGTGGTTTCCCGGGCTTGTGAATACCGATGACCACCGCATCTTTCCACTTTTGAGGAAAAATGCAGTTGGTCAGAGCGGCGTTAAAAATTGCAGTCAGAAGACAGATGAGGGATGCGGAAAGCTGTTTAAGCACCTTGTTGAAGATACTAATAATAATTCCCATTTTTCTGATAAGGAATCAAAGTTAATATTGGTAATGGTATGAGAGAAAGCCTTGAAGTTGCTTTTCTGTTTGCGGAGCATTTCTTCTAGATTGCTAGGCGTACTACGATGCGTTCCTGTAGTTACAGGCGGCTCTGGCTCGGAGTATCGTACCTGCGGTGTGGGTGGTTGTACATGTACTTCAGGAGGTGCTGGATGAGCGGGCGACGCAGTGCTAGCCCCGGTGTCCGATTTCCCCGGTGACGAAATTATGCTTGCTGGGTTTTCACTAATTTCTAGTGTTTAGAAATCCGTGTAAATTGGATAACATTTCCAATTGAGGCGTTGCGGGTTTCGAGTGGGATGTTGGATCTTCAGTATATAAGGAATAACGATGTAGATATTTTGAGAATACATTACTGAAAGTTTTCGTAGCTTCATACCAATTTTGGCGGAAGTACGCGAGACCGATATCTTGATAATCGATCAGTTGCATATGATGCTCTCAAATTCAATCCAATACATAGAGAGCATGCTGATTCTTCTGTTAACATTTGAATAAGCCTTCCGTTCTGGCCCATCCCTTTTAACATTGATGAAAATTCTTTCAATATTCTGCATACGCAGAGCTTGCTTTTCTATAAAACTCAACATGATAGATTTTATCTGATAGAAATGCAGATAGATATTGTTGATTTAGCTAGGTGTTTATGGAACCCTTGTAGGTATGTGCGCCTTCTCAATTTCCCGATGAGACCCGCTGGTGGGAGGCCGGAAAACCGATTCGCTACCAAACAAAGATCTCCAAAAACACACAAAGCCTAACTGATATACTGATTCTGATGTACTGATGCTGATAATGCGGATAGCTGATGACGATGATGATGATGTGTAAAGTAGACGTAACTTCGACGTTGCACTGATATTGTACCTCTTGCGTCGAATTCGCGTTAAAATATCACGAAAATTACACACGCGAGGATCCGGCTCGAAGGACCATAAAGATGTACGGTTTGTTCAACTTTCAATGGTAAGAGTTTGATAGAATGTGAAAGTTTATTGCTAAAAGAACTGCTAAAATGATAACTGATAGATGGAATGTGGGATGGCTTGCGAGTGAGTTTTAGAACTAAAGTGCATTTCGTAATTTATGCATTTCTGTTATATGGACCTAATAACCGGTCAATGGCACAATGTGCTTATCCTACGAAATGTACGTTCGTGTATCGTACAACTCATTAGGTAACGTACTTTATCAGTTTAAAGGTTCCTGATAATGTCGCGACAAACGCAAGTTTCGATGAAATCGGGAGAGAAGCCGGGATTTTGAGCTCGCACGTGACTGGCGGGAAAGCGGGTGTTTTTCAAGGTGAGAAAAGTGAAGAACTCGGAGAAGTGACGTTAGAATCATGTAAGTCCAATTAATATCATTATGAGAAGTGTACTTGTACTTGTGTAACTTAGTACATAGTAGAATAGAACTTGTAGAAGGAAGCTGCCATTGTTCCAATGGAGCAATCGGAGGTGAGCATAAAACTAGAACTCGTGGAAGAGCAGAACTGCACTCCATTCACTCCAAGTTCTAAGAAACAAAACGGTAGTACGAGCAAGCTGTAAGGGGTGGTTATGGAGACTTCTAAGGAGAAAAATCCCCGTTAGAATTGAAGATGTGTTAGAATAGAATTATTGATAGAGTTGAATCTCTCTCAACCTTCATCTGACACTATATATTAAGAATTACATGTCGTTATATTATATATTGGGCGATGAAAAGGGAGGATGAACGAACTGTGTATGCAGCGGGGAAGCGAATGTTGAGATGGATGTATGGAATGACGAGAAAAGATAAGATAAGGAATGAGTACATCAGGGGAAGTTAGAAAGTGGCGCCATTGAAAAGATGAGGAGTTATAATTTAGCGTGGTACGGACATGTCGTGCGGAAGAAAGAAAAGATGAATGTATTTTGTGGACTATGACATGGATAGGAAAGGTGTGAGTATGGAAATAACGGCTGATATAGGAGAGTGGCAGAGAAATACATGTTCTACCGACACCATCTAGCGTGGGACAAGGACGAGAAGAATAAGATATCTGAATAATCCCAGGTGCGAATCTGTCATAGTTATAGCACCTCGATATTAGAAATACCCTGATGTAACGACAGATATCTCTTATATTTACGGAATAATCGCCTGGTCACTTTTAACGATTATAGGTTAGAAAATACATATAAATAAGTACTATTTTGAATACTTACAGACACACTTGGTGGGGTCATGTGGATCGGTGCTCCATGAAGCTGGACAGTAACAACGTACGTCGCTTCTGTACTCATTAAGTGCCACGCAGCGGTAGTCGCAGCCACAGTCCTGATACAAAAAGCGATCATCATTGTAAGGTTGGTATCGAAAGATTATTAAAATAGTACTACTACATCATCATCATCAACTCAATTGATACGTCCCACAGCTGGTTCTCCTCTCAGACGAGGGTTTAGGCCATAGTCCAAAACGCCAATGCGGGTTGGGAACTTCATACGTTTTTCGAGCTTAGAGAACCATCTTTCACTAGGTTTCATCACGATGTTTTTGTTCACCGAAACGCTCATGATAAATTTCAAATAAAAGTTCGGACACCAAATGCGAAAACTGTGCAAACGGTGCAAGCACGGATTCGAATTCTCGGCCTCTGCTGAGAGGTGATAAATAAATCCATTATGCTGCCACGGCTTGTAACTTGTTTACGCCACATCAAAGCTTACAAAGCTGTACGAAGAAACCGCATTGGGTTAAGTTAGAAAGAATCCATACATGCAGACAATGTATTGCTGATTTGCTTACATGTATAGCGGGCATGATGACGACTTCACCAGGCCCGGTTCGTTGCGCTACAGTGACTTCGCTGAAATCGCGAACGGCGCGCGTGCTGTCGATGTACGACCATCCGCCGCCACCATGGTTGCCTTCTCCTTCGTTTGTGTTACCACCTGTATTAGGAGTTTTTATTGAACATCACGAAGCGGATAGTCTTGCGAAAGTCAACCATAATAACGAAGTTTAATCTTGTTTTGGATACTAAGTAACTAAACACAAAACAATCAAATCAAAAGCAATAGCTGGTTGTTGCAGACCAACGGACTCTTTTATATCATCTTCATTAACAACAAATGACATTCTGCCCACATTTGTAAATTGTGGACGTAATTGTGGGAACTTACCAAGCCAACCGCCTCCGCCTCCGCCTCTCAAACATCCCCCACCTCCTCCTCCAAATCCCCCATCTGCTCCTCCTACACACGCTTTTCCTCCCTCGCCACCTTCCTTCACAGCGTTGCCACGGACTATCTCAAACCCGGGAGTTATTGGTCCGGGACGGGATAGCCATCCGCCTCCCGCACCTACGATAAAGAAATATTATGCATAAAATTTAATCACTTCAATTACTGAAGCCTATCAGACCTGTACCTTTATGCTTGAACACATCCCAACTCTGAATACCCCTGTCCAAGTTTCTGAGAAAATCTTTGATATGCATGTGGAGCTGATACGCGTCAAGCTGACAGATAAAATCAAATAGACTCACCCGATGTGCGACCTGGTTCTCCGTACATCCATCCCGATTCAGGTGTAGCATTGGTGAGAGCGCGACCGTGTTGCGACCCGTCATCACGAAAAATACCCACTGAGATTCCACCGCCACCCCCAGCAACTAGTAGGGAAATTGCTTGACCTTCTTTATCCAGCTGCAAGGAAAAAAAACTTTGAAAACTAACACAATTAAGATAGGCGTTCTCAAATTTCTTAGCGATAGTTTTAAAATATATCTTTCACCTATATTAAAATAATAAACAGAAAGTTATCAAAAACGACAGTTAGGAATTATTTGACATTGGGAAGTCTATTGATTATTGGTCAAAATTTGTATTGGGAAACTTGGCCTTTTGTTAGATTATTGCAACACATTGACGTACCAAGAAGACATAGGTTCCGCCTCCGCCACCTCCACCTCCGTCAGAGACGTGCGTGTTGCGAACTTCGTGAGTTTTGCTCGTGTATAGCTGAACCGACTCGTTAGATGCCTTACGAGAGCATTCTTGACTTTCTTGCGCTGATAACGTCTGTGGAAAAGTTGCACATTTGTACCCTATACTAAGAAATTTGGTGATCAAAGTAATTAGAGTTGTTTCTAGAAAACTTTGGTATAGCTAAGATTGTTCGGAGACTACTATCCTGCAGTATTCATACAATATTTTGATCGAGTTTCTTTTCAATTAGTCATTGAAAATGGATACACATTGTGATTGTTATTAATTTTTTTAAAAGGACACAATATTGCAAGTGCTTGAAGAGTTATACCAACAAGAGAAGATTTATTAAAATGAGCCGATAACTGACCTTCTTACAAGCGTTCTGTCCCTGTTGTCCGACGAGCATATAGATGACCTCGCTCTTGTGCAGTTCAAACAGTGCCCGAGCCTGTGCGCCGTGGGACACGCCGGCCCACGCTGATCCAAGTCCTCCAGAAGCACCCGTTGCTATGATCCTGCATGAAAAATTACCTTTAGGAACTATCCATTGGACCAGACCAGATTTCATTGGAAATCGATAAAAACCGTTGGTAAGTGAAGTTTAGAACATAGCAATAGCAGTGCACCGGTTTTATGCGGAACGCCTATTTGCCGTGTAGAATTATAATAGGGCAGTACCTATTATAATTCTACACGGCAAATAGGCGTTCCACAAGAATCACACATAGGAATTCTGTATTTGAGTAAAGGAGTACCACAAGGAGCCTACGTGGGACCTAGAATCTTCATAGAACATCACCAATACTTACGTGTACAGTCCTTCAGCTGGTACCTCCCACATTTGGAGCCCTTGATAAGGCGGTTTTTCGAGTACAGTGACAGACACGGGAGTGTTGTTGTATGCAATGTCGCACATAGTCTGGTTCGGACCGAAGCGGCCTGTGGCTCCGCATGTCGAGAAACGGTAGACTGAAAAAGGGGTTAAAGTTTTTTCATGGTACTTTCAAGATAATATTTTCAGGATAGATAGTTTCTATCCTAGAAATTTATATTGGACGATTATTTCGGGGATGCTTCTACCCATCTACCAAATAGGTAAGTAATATTGCACGAATAATTAATGAATAATTAGTATTTATGATAAAGGTAAACATATCTCATCTATAATTCTTTTCATTATTATTATTATTGTATTTATTTTAAACTCTCGCCTCTCCCAAGGCCTAAAAGATTAATTTTGAATTTTTAAATGGGAGAGGCGGTATTTCCCGGCAATGGGACAGTCGGCCGGGGTCAGGGACTCAGGTCCAAGAAACGGCGAACAATACGTGCCGTATCGAGCAGGACCGCCTTCTGCATTTGTGCTGGAAGCGACACGCCACAGAAATCCAACCGCCTCAAGCTGTTAGAAAGGCTGACTGGAATTAACCCATTTGCGGACAAAACAATTGGGATTATTTCAGTGGAGGCCACATCCCACATTATTATTATTATTACTATTACTATTATTATTATTATTATTATGAGCCTATACTGTCCCACTGCAGAGCATAATAGTTTAAAATTTTTGATACCTCTGAATGTGATTCGAAACGTTTTGAGATGGGCTGGGGCTCATTACGTCAAGTCTTTTTAGCTATTTACTACCACCCGAAATGATTCGTTTTCATAAAAATATTTTTGGCAAAAATTTTGATTTTGCTTTAACGATATCAAATTAGAAAAAATAATATAAAATGCATTTCAATAAAATTGAAAAATAAACTGGTGAAAGGTGTCCGAGTATATTATCTTTGACTATGGTATCTAAACTTACTGTACGATCATTATAACACTTTTAAAACTCACATATTTTATCAGCGAAAGCACTATGAGGTGTAGTCTTTTCCTCGAAGACAGGGTCGTAATAATTGTAGTCTCCCAACTCGTCGGGATCTATATTAAGACCGAAACATTCCGGAGCCATCGAGAAGTCGTCAATGGCCGAGTCTGAGTAGATGCGCATGCCCATACGAGTCTTGAACTCTAAATAGTATCTGTAACAGATTTTATGGATTTATTATATAATAGTTGACATGATATTTTTGAACTACGTAGTGGTAGCGAGGTTTAACATCATATTTATGTTGTTATTAGCAATTGAAGTACTATTAAGCAATACTACTTTGCTCACATTATTAACTCCATGATGATCTTTTATGTTATTTATGTTCCACACGATTCAGTCTGCTACATAAGTAATTTAGTTCTTTGGAATATAGTAAAGGTTCCATTAAAATGATCAAAAGCAATAAGTTGTGGCATCATATTTAGCAGAATTGGAAAAATCATGTGCGCCATATTCAATTATCATAGGAATTTTATTTTTCAGTAAGTTTATATGTTAAAAAAATAATTTATGTAGGTATTTAATGGTTAGAAGCACCTGATCACACAAAAATTATCTTTTATATTCGCTTTATTGATTTCTTAGGCTCATTTATCCATTATTACATGTTGTGGTTTTGCGCACAGACATTGCTATTTTGATCTTAGCGTAGTCGACATAAAAACAAAAGTATTTAGTTCCAAACAGTCTATAAATAAAATTAATGTTTATTTCAGAACGTACATCTACATAACACTAAATCGAAAGTTTGAGTACATAGCGTTTGTTTATTTACAAAGAGCTTATGTATTTATAGCTTCTGTTCATTCAAAGAACAATACCGCCTAAGATCAATTACGCTTTCGGAGTAGAAACAAATACTGTTTTCTGTTTCCTCTGATTTATTTTTTTTCGTCCTTTTTCGTGCTAACTTAATTGTCTGCTGTACTCTCAACATTGTGTATTAAGGAATGCCTTCGACAAGATAGCTAACACTTACAAAGGAAATTTTAGAAATTGGTTAACTAAATATAACTAAAATAGGTACTAAATAGGTTCTGTTTAACAAAGGAAATTATACCTATTAATTATATTTGACAAAAAGTAAAACTATCATTTTTTTAATTCACATAAGCAGTTAAAAACCGAAAGAAGTAGCATAGGGGCCTATTTAAAGCCTGTTCTTATATGAACACTTACCTTCGTGTGACGTTGGGAAGGAATATGGAGGCTCTGTACCAATTTTCTCCCTTGTCCTTTGTGGAGAACCAAAGTGACGTCGTGATGTTACCTCGAGGAGTTAACTCGACGAGATCCACGCTCAAAGAGCCATAATTGCGTCCATTTTGTTGGTAGTAAAATCGGATCTGTTCAGAAAGTATACGAGTTTGAATCAGGTTTATATTTAATTTAGAATTTAACTTAAACGAGTGCCGTCCGCGGTGGAACCTAGTATCGTATAATAAAGCTCCTGCTAAGCTTCAGTATTATATGTGTCATATTTGAGAAGAAAAATGGGTATATAAGGTTATATATAGGAACGACGTAAAAATATAGTTTTTACAAGACTTGGAAAAGGAGAGTCTTCCAAATAGCTCGGAGTTTTGGTTCATCACTGACTCAAAAAGTGGGTGGTAATAAGTTGGTAGCCGTTTTCTATGCGTCTGTATGTAAATCTGTTAAATCTTAGCTCTCAAACGGATGGGTTGATCTCAAAGCAGTGTTTTTATTTTCATACCATATCATGCATAACGCAAAAATTTTCGTTTGATTTGCAAACAATGTAAATATTAAAGAATTAGAAAACGTCATTAAACAATGATAATAAAAAAAAATTATGAAATAACACTCACCATGCAACAGTTATAGTAAGTCGAACTCATATTCCCATGTACTTTGGGCGGTGGGTTAAAAACTACAGTTTTCATTACCGCTGTTGATGCAAAATCCGCCTTCTCTTTGTTAGGACCGGTAACGTTCATATTGACAAAGAAATAATATCCCACACATTGAGATAGAGTGTAATTCATTCTTGTCGGAAATAAAGGTGGTAGAGCCAAGGTAGGAGTTGGGTAGTAGACTGGAGGGCCACACGTGTGGTCGAAATTCGGGCCAGTTTTGTCTGTTGGTGTTGGGCCACTGTGACGTGTCCATTTTAGTATCGGTCTGTGGAATAGAGATAGATAAGTACTTTGATCTGCGACAGAATGAAAGAGATGGGATAATATTGAAATTGGCTTACTGAGGCACATCCTCAAAACCGCAGTTGTCTTGTTCAAAGTTGCAATAGGAGCCAAAGGGCATTTTATCTGTAAAATTGATAAGCATTAGATACATAATTTTAAATTGAAAGTGATTTATTATTTATTCATAAATACACACCGCAATTCCTTTGTTCGTCAATGCCATCGTCACAATCCTTCGCCAAGTCGCAGACTTGCATCAATTTTATGCATGATGGTGTCTGAAACATTTTAATCCACTACAATCTAGTTTTGTATCGAAGTTCTCCCTTTTTTGTGGTCTTATCAGCATAACAGAAAAATTCGGTTTCAGGAGGCAGTACAGTTGCATCTTTTGAACGTCAGAAATATCGAACAGAATGCAGATTTTATAATGAAGCTCGGCATAATGATCCAAGCAAGTATAATGAACCATTATCGGCTATCGTATTCAAGCTGCGTATAAGTTATTGCTCGAGTGGCGGAACATCAATGCTTTAGCGCGCTTAACATCGTGCTGCGTGGTCAGACTAGCATTATTAATTTCTACTGTTGTTCTCAGAGCGATCACTCTGTCTAAACACACAATTTTAGCTCTTGAGTCCACCATATGGGGTCCAAAATATGTCCACCATTAAAAAGGAATGTGTATGTGAAAAGGCATGTAGAAGTAAAGCAAGCCGTCGTTCGTTGTCAATACGTCTGGAAATTGTATTGCGGCCATCTTGTTATAACACTATAATTAGTTTAAAAATCAAGAAGTCGCCAAATGGCCACCAGTAACTTTTTAGCGAGCAAAGCTTACGAAGCTTCAGCACGAATTGTGACGCCAGAGGTGCGGCCTCAATATTACAATAAAAAAAGGATTAGTTAGACCAACTCACATTTTTTATATTACACTTCAACTGTCCAGTATGACACGTGCCGTTGCTGACGGGTGGTTCAGGTAAGCATTCCACCATGCGAATGTTATCGATAGCAATATGAGGCAATGGCTGGGACAGGCTGACGTAGTTCGGTCGGGTTATCTCAATGATTATGCGCACTTCTTGCTGAATCTTGCCGATTGTGAACGCCATTGGGTACCATCTGAGGACGAAATTGGATTATATGAAGACGTAGCTAAATTTTGCAAGAAAGACAGTAATCTTATGAAACCGCCCAGCAAAGAGTGCTTGTGTAGGTGCACTAAACTCGGAAAGTAGCAAATCTACTACAAAGACCTCGTGTGGTATGTGATTAACAATATCAGTAAAACTATGCAGCTAATATACAGAGAAACGCAACCCATTGTAATTTATCCCGTAGTGCTTTTATGCGACACTGTTAGGGGCCTAACCGTTTAAAGGCGCGAACCATAAGTAACCATCGCGTGTCTCCCGGAGAGCTCTCGCACATTCTCGGGAATTCCTGTAGCTACCGTATCGAATCTAGTAATATCGTTATAAAAAATCGCAATGGCAAACATTTTGAAACCCAGAAACTATATTCCAATTTCTGAAGGTCGGGAATGGTTTTCGAATTGTTGACATAGTTAACATTTCACGGTTGACTTTCAAGTAAGATTGTCTGCAGGAATAAAGCTAACTATACAATAACTTCTCGAACGGCAAATATGTTTATGTAAGGAAATTATTGCAAAATTGTTGCTTAGGATGTGTAAATACTTTCTTCTTGTTATTTAAGAGTTAGACTTTTGCTGATGGAGTAAACGCCAACCACTTCTGCTTGATTTCCTAATACAACACGACATTAACTTCCCTTCCGTTTCTTGCCTTCGAGTTCCCTTCTATAATGCTTCTAAGAAAACCAAACTTTCCTAAAAACACACGCCTTCAACTTAATTCAAAGTCTGTAATTTAAAATCCTTACCTCTCATTATTATTGCCCGTAGTCTCCATAAGTATCCACTGCACCTCGGAGCCTGTGGCTTCCGACACTAGCTTTATGCTGGCATTTTGCATCCTGCTCTGATGCAGTTTCGCCTCGAACTAAAAAGAGATGGATATAATTTGAATGGAAATTCGTCACAATGATTATTATCAACTAAAATTAATAATTGTTTACAAAATTATTTTAAATTATTACAACACGTGAACCATCTATGAGTAGCAAGGAATCTAAAGGATACTGCAAACGTACAAACTTTATAAAACAGAGGCTTTGAAAACGCACCTTGCAGAACTCCCAAAGGCCGTGGAAAGGCGGCGATTTAACCACCATGTTCTCCATTGTTGGGTCCACTGGGAGGTACAGGAAATTACCTGTCAAAGAATGATATAATATTGAAAAAATATGTGTTAGTGTTAAAAAAATTATGAAAACCTTTTAAATAAAAATCCTAATTAATATAGTAAAATAACGGCTTAGCGAACGTGCTCTACACGAATAAGTTTGTATTTCATCTTATTTTGGATACTAAATAAATAAAACTCAATGAAATTTTGTAGACGTGATCTAGAAAATTAGACCATGGCCATATTTTGTCAATTAAATGTTACAATTGCAGAAACAAAGTTCGTAGATAATAAACATATGAATGTGCTAATATTTTTTTATTTTATCCATACCCTTTGGCACAATCTTATCTTGCAATACTAGGTATTGATGGTATTGAACTTTCAACGATATGCCAACAGTGTAAAGTTTAAATTATATTAACAATCCAGAATTTGTAATGTTTCAAAATGGGTTCAAATTAAGAATGTGTGAGTTTTGGTGACATCAGTTCTGGTTGTAAACGAGGCTTAAGAAGGCACCTCCATCGTTTTTTCTTCTTCCCTGACTTGAAACGCCTCCGTTACTTGAAAAAACGCATGTGATTTTTTTTTGCAAGAGAAAGGTAGATATTTTTTATTTCATTTTTTTAAACATTATTTTCTCGGTTTTGAGTACTTGTCGCAAGTGCCCTTTCAACTAAAGATAGATCATAAATATTGTCATAAATATTCTTGACGTTTATAAAATTTATCGGAACAACAAAAGGTCAGTGTTATTTATTTATTTATTCATTTACATTACTAGACATTATAGCAAACGCTTCTTCAACAACCATAAGTCATTCTCTCATAGCAGCGATGTAAACACGATGCAAGCGCGCGGTACCACTATCTGTAGTCCAAGATTCGGAATCATTCGGGTTTTAACGGAAATTGGTGATTGTATTGTTAACGTATTTCATTTCAATGTATTATACTCGATGTTATAATTTACTTGTTTATCATTTCGCTACTGCAATAAAAAAATTAACTAATCGTTGAGATATAAAGTGAATATTCGGTTACACTACGCACGCAGTGACCTTCTGTACTTGCAGAGATGGTTTTCTTGAAAACACGTACAATGTCGGAATCAGAACGTCGTTATACGTAATTAATATAGAATAATACTAAAATATAGGAATACTCTTCAGCTGTTAAGGTGATTATATATGGCGAATTTTAGTCGCGCGTTTGTGTCGATGCAGTCGCGCGTTTGCATCGGTGTAATCGCCTATAAATCGCAAGTGTAGCGATGCAATCGCGCGTTTCACGAACGCGAGTTAGCATCGCTGAAAGTCCCCGTGTCTTAGACTTGTGACCAAATCGTTATCTCAAAGGTTTTTCTTCAAATATAAATTTAGTTTTCTCACAATTTATCATTTTTAATAAAAAAATTAAGACGTAACATTATGAATCAGCTTGGACAACTATCAAGGTATTTAGTTATGAAAGAAAATAATTTCGTAATAATTTCTAACCCAGGTTTTTTTTGTGGTCTCTGCCTACCCCTCCTGTGGGACTAGGGCGTGAGCTTTGTATGCATGAAGTTTTCAACCTCTCAGGGAAAGGAGTGACAGCTGGTTTCTTCTAATCTATTTCACATAAAATCCACACAATGGTTTGAAGCGCTGTCTTGTACAAAATAATATGTCTATAAGCTCATCATTGTTTGAATTTCCAAGTACAAACCTACACAAACGCCTAGATAAATAATTTTAGCAATTCACATAATGTAAACATTACTCTTTTAAATGCTAAGGCGTTTCCTTTTGTTTTTCTCTTCGATAAGTCAAGCTGTTTGTTTGTTGTGCGCATCAAAATGTGTAACTCGCAAGCTCCGAAACCACAGCCACAAATGACTTCCCAAATTGGTTATCAAAATACGATAACCAATACCCAGGTAGAAACTCACATTGGAATTATCTCCCGGTGTATGCTGGCATTTATAATAATAAAAATTTATAAAATAAATAAATTTATTCGGTATATCGAAGTGCGCGATCAGGTTTGAAATATATAAATCCGTGAAAAAATCAAATCATCTACAAAATCTTTTTCATTTTTATATTGGACACGTAAAAATAGATGGCGTTTAAAAGTTTCAGTTAGAGAGGATATGATTTTTTTCCAATGATTGAGTTTTTTCCAATGATTGGATAAAAGGCCATGAGCTTAAAACTGCATAATAATAATTTTAAGATAATGGATTAAACATAAATACTACAATGTAGATAAGATCTAGTAGCTAGTAGTTCGTCCAGGGAAATACTGCCATTGATTAATTGTTAGTTGCGGTTCTCGGTACCTTAATTGCGACGTTGCAATTGATTTCAATTGAATTGATTTTTTAATCTGATTGAATTTCTGATTGAAATTTAATTATTGACGCCCAACACTGACCTGAGTAGGCTCAGTAGTTTAAATGAATAACAAAACCACTGTACCATAACTGTATTGTATTATTAAACTTAATTCAAGTTAATCATATTATTCCAAATCCCAAAAGTTTTGCCGTAGGTAAGTGTGTGGCACAATTATGTGCATACACAACAGTAAGGAAAAAATAATAAAGTGTGTGTGTGTGTGTGCGTATTTGTGTGTGTTCGTATGCGTGTGAGTGTATGTATGAGCATGAGTGCTTGTGTATTTACAAGTGTGTGTGAATGCATGTGTGTGCGTGTGGTCCAGCAAATATATTGAAAACTAAAATAAGTTGGCAACATCTAAAATTACTGTAAAGTCGTGATAAAATAAAAATGAACTCGAGTTATCTACCTATTTATTATTTTCCGTTAAAACCTTAAAAAATTCTTGGCTATAACTTTAATAATTTTTTATATCCTTTTTTTTCTTCTTTCTTGGGTAGAATTTTTGATATTTCAGACTATTTTTTACTAATAACATGGACCAATAACTCAAGTGAGTTATTGGTCCATGCTAATAATAAATCCAATTTTAGATTTAATAATAAGTTATATATTATATATATAATATTTAATATAAATTATATATAGTTATACTAATAATTATAGATTTAATAATAAATTCAACCAATCACACTGTAGGTACTATTTGTTTTGCCTAACCTCAAACGGAGGTTAATCCATCATATGAAGTATTTGACATTTTGGCAAGACCTGATTGCTTAAGAAACATACTTTTTACCTAATTTAACAAACAAGGATGAATTAATAACTCTTATTGTAAGAAAAATACGAATAAAATTTTGTAATTTTATCAAACGAGAATAGATCCGTTAAGTTGTTTTCGTCTAACTAGGCAAATCAACTTGAACCAATAAGGGAGTTCCGTTTATTCAACATGGCTATCGGACTATTCGTTTAGTTTCTTCGCCAAATAATGGAGAAATTAGGTAAAATGAAATCCCCATGTAAAGCCCGAAAGCGACCAAATATAAAAATAAAACAGAAGCAGGAAAAAGCAAAAAAACTGTAAGTAACGGACACCTTTGTTATTTTTATTTAGGTTATGACAAGTGGTTGTTATAATTATTAATACAAAGATCGAACACTCAGAAAAAACACTCAGAAAAAATTCCTTCGATCCGGTCGGATTCGAAACGACGTCTTCTTGCATACCGTGCCAGACGCTATACCAATTAAGACACGGAATGAACCAACGGACCTCACGAATTTTTCTATGTGCTTGCGTCATGTCTTTGTACTTGGTCTTTCAACGACTTTTTAGTCGTAGCGCCATCTATGAGAAATCTATGACAGATTTATCACCTTTACAGCTACCAGTCCTGGCGAGAGATGTCGCTATTCACTGTATTAATTAAATTTTTATTGAATTGATATTCAAGTGGTTGTTGTTAGGGTTGTACGTAACGTTGATTGTGATGGTTGATTATTAATAATTTATGTTACATATGTGAGTGAATTATTTCTCTACTTCATAGCAGTGACAAAATAAAATGATATTTTAAGGTAATTATGTATAACTTTAAATCCAAATGTGCTCCCTATTGATGTTCCAATACAAGACGCTTTGAAGACCAATTGGTTGATGTCCGTAAGTTGCTCTGTAGTGTGTTCAACTTGACATACCTACACGCTGTCTCGTGTGTCTATGCGTGGTTACATCTAGTCAGTATCACGAGAGCCATTGCCGAGAGTGGACAGGGTGTTACGTCATGCATGACAGCGCCGAGCCAGTGTTCGCAAGAAAGGAAGCAAATATAAGCTGCTCGAAATCATTTCGGTGAAAATTGGTCATTGGTCATAAAGTACTCAATAGTGAAAACGTAATACTTTTGGTAGCATCTGACGTTGAGGATGATCCCGAGGAGGTATTAAATTTTGTTTAGGTATCCTTGTTTTTTTTTTTCATTTTGATATATTATTTTGTAACAATAAAACAATTTGATTCTATACTATTTTTAATTTATTTCGATATGCTAGTAAAAATCGTTATTGTGACAACCTGGACTGTAAGTAGTACGGAGAGTTTTTTTTATCAAATCTTGCTATGTTCAATTACATTTTATCAATTTTGAATAACTCTACATCTATTTTTTCCACAACGGTTAAATTTCACTGTGTTAAAAACACGTTTTAGAGATTACCGGGGGTATATCTACATAGCTTTCGACTAATTATGACACATTTCTATGCTAGAATTTTCGTTGTCATTTGAAATTATGAATTTTGTTGGGAATAGATTATTGTTGGATAACTCGAAATTATGTAGTACGGATTTACTTTGAAGTTAAGCGACACATTTGTGAACGGGAAATAAAGGACAAAGTTCTACTTCGCCGTAAAGTGCAACTGGCAATAGCAACTTTATTCCAATAACCTAGAGTTCATCCGTGCATCCAATTTGCATAGTTCAAATCTGTACTCGGAGATAGATAGCCAGGAAGTAACCTACTTGAGACCGCTTATCTAATAAAACACCAGCAGTGAACTGGGATCCGATTCTTTATACAGTTCGTAGCAATAAAGCTATTTGTGAAAGAGTTCGTCTAGGGAAGTACT